TAGTGTCCCGCCCGCCCGACCCGACCCGCCCGTTAGGGTCCGCCCGCCCGACCCGCCCGATAGGGTCCGCCCGTCCCGTCCCGCCCGTTAGGGTTCTCATGTGTCACGCTGTATGCGCATCAGACTTTAGTGTCCCGCCCGCCCGACCCGACCCGCCTGTTAGGGTCCGCCCGCCCGACCCGCCCGATAGGGTCCGCCCGTCCCGCCCGGGCCGTTAGGGTTCTCATGCGTCATGCCGTATATGTATCAGACTTTAGTGTCCCGCCCGCCTGTCCCCAGCCGCCCGTTAGGGTCCGCCCGCCCGACCCGCCTGCTAGGGTCTGCCCCGTCCCGCTCCGCCCGTGAGAGTTCTTATATGTCATGCAGTATACGCATCCGACTTTAGTGTCCCACCCGCCCGACCCGACCCGCCCGTTAGGGCCCGCCCGCCCGACCCGCCCGATAGGGTCCGCCCGTCCCGCCCGTCCCGCCCCGCCCGTTAGGGTTCTCATGTGTCTTGCTGTATGCGCATCAGCCTTTAGTGTCCCGCCCGCCCGACCCGACCCGCCCGTTAGGGTCCGCCCGCCCGACCCGCCCGATAGGGTCCGCCCGTCCCGTTCCGGCCGTTAGGGTTCTCATGTGTCATGCTGTATACGCATCCGACTTTAGTGTCCCGCCCGCCCGACCCGACCCGCTGTACGTATGTTCCTGCCCGCCCAGCAGAAGCCTGGAATGCCGCTGTACGGCACCACTGCCCGTGGTGTTGCATCACTGCCCCTCCTCCCCCTTCCCCTCCTCCTCCTCCTCCTCCTCCTCCTCATCCTCATCATCATCCCCTTCCTCCTCCTCCTCGTCCTCCTCTTCCGCCTCCTCCTCCTCCTCCTCCTCCTCCGCCTCCTCTCATTCTCGTGTGCTCGGATGGGTGTTGTTACAACCCACGGTGGCGCCCCCGCGCCTCGACTCGCGGGCGCCCCTCGTGAGCCGTGGGGGGCCCGTGCGCGGGGGGCGGGCGCCCCGAGCCTTCTCGCCACGCTCGGGGAGGCAGCTGCCGTCGGGGGGCAACGAAAAACAATTCCTGGGTATTCGTGGATTCTCCTGGATCGTCTCCAAAGTTTTTTTACTATTCCTGGATATCCCCCCTGTAGAGGGACAGGCCCGACTGAACTCTAGCGCCCTCGGGGCACTCCTGACCGCCCACGGTCGGGGGGAACGAAAGGGGGGGATAGCAAAGGATAGGATAGAGAATCAGCTCACGCAGCTGATTTTCCTGCCTCCTCTTCGTCCTCGTTCTGTGCCTCCTTCTCCTCTGCCTCCTCCTCCTGCGTCCCCCCTCTTGCTCCTCCTCCTTCTCTTCCTTCTCGTCCTCTTTGTCGTCGTCCCTCTCCTAATACACCTCCTCATCTCTAGTACTTCGCATCGGCCTCCAGCGTTCAGTCCCCCGCGTTCCTCCTCCTCTCCTCCTCCTCCTCCTCCTCCCCCCTCCCGTCATCGTCAGCACTTTCACCGCATGCCCGACCATATCTCCTCACACCCCTCACACGGGTCGTAGCCCCATATGAAGCTCCACCGAAGGCTCCAGTGGCTGCGTCCGCATGGCACCTCCGTCCGCCCGGCCCGAGCGCGCAGGCGAAAGTAAAACGCCACAGGCCAAAAACCCAGGTCACGATTCCTTCTTTGGGCCCCAGAACGCCATAGGCAAAAACCCAGGTCACGATTCCTTTTTTGGGCTTCAGGAGCGCCACTGACGCGGAGGAGAGCAGGGGAGCACTTCCTCTACACGCGCGCGCTCTCGGCAAGACCGGGAGGCCCGACGCGCAAGGCAAAAAAAAAGCGCCACAGGCAAAAACCCAGGTCGCGATTCCTTCTTTGGGCCCCAGGAGCGCCACAGGCAAAAACCCTGGTCGCGATTCCTTATGTGAGCCAGGCCGAGGGAAGCGGAGGAGCACCCCCCCGCCCGGCGCGCGCGCCCCGGCCAGTGCCCCGGGGACCCGACGCGCAAGGCAAAAAAAAAAGCGCCACAGGCAAAAAAAAACGTTTTTACCTGTAAAGTTTTTTTTTGCCTTGCGCGTTGCAGCCGCCATGGAGGTGTCGCTGGTGTCGCACGGGCGGGAGCGCTACTGGCTGCGCTCATACTCCCAGGCGGCACATGGCGCAGGTTCGACGTGCAGGCGGTCAGCGGCCACCTCGTCACTATGTACGTCAATGCCGATAAGAACGGGAAGGAAATCAGGAGGGAGGTCCAGACGCAGATGCTCCTGGGCCTCATTGAGGCTGCGGCGCCCGACCAGGACTGCTGGGCGCGCCGGCAGGAGGGCCTCGTCAACGTCGGTTCGGGGCCGATCGTTGGAGTACAAGTGCGCGGCCCCGATGAAGCCTTGCAGCTGGCATGGGACGTGCCTCTCGCGACCCGCCTCGGCATCGCCTGGCAGACCATCACCAGCAGGTTCCACGATCTGTGGCGGGAGGTCGACACCACGGGCTGGACCTGCACCTAGCCAAAGGTGGGTCCCGTGGTGGGAGCTCAGCAATGCCGCTCGGGGACTCGCGGTCGTCGCGTGGAGCGCTCACGGGCTACTTCTCCACAGTTTCGCCGCCCGAAGAAGACGGAAGGTCAACGTGGTCGTGGAGCATCTTCGCCAGCGCTCCAGCGCGATGGTTCAGGAGGTCCACGGTCATGCCGAGACGATCGAAAACTACCAACCAATACAACACCCACTACAATATGCACCGTTCTACTGTCCAGAATGGCCCGGGGCCGGAGGGGTTGCCATACTGACCCCATGGCACGACCAGCGCGCCATTACAACCGCGGGCCGCGCGGTTCTCCCCACGATCCAACATCGGGCGCTGGAGCGCGTCCGCGCCGTCATCACGACGATCGCCGACCCGCGCGCTCAGTGCGCAATGAAGTTCATGAACATCCACGACTTCGACATCAGCGAATATGGGAAGGAACGCATCCGGCCGGCATGGCAGGAAGCAGCGCAGTGGGCCCAGAAGGATCCCGTGAAACGGACTTTCGCGGCAGCTGGCGGCCTCGACATGACTGATGCGCCCGCGGGCCCCTCCTGCGTCCGCAGCCGCGGCAGGCCCAGCGGTCAGACGCAGGGCGCGCTAATCGGTCTGAGCCGCTTGGTGGGACAACATCAGGGGTTCTCACATCCTGGAGGCGTGCTCGCCGCTTCCCGCCCACTTCGCGAAGGACGCTGGCGCGTTGCGTGCGATCGACAGGATCTTCGCGCCCCTCTCGTCGTCTTTCGCGGTGGAGACCGAGTGCGACCTCCAGGCGGGGAGCGACGCTGTCTCGATGGACGCGCAGAAGCTCAGTGACCGCGCAATCCTCCCCCTGCGGCGGCAGACGCGGAATGGCGAGCCCAAGCGCGAGCGGAAGATCCCCGCCTTCACCTTCAGAAGCCACGAGTACAAGAAGATCTCGGCAAATTGTCTCGGCGGCTGTCGCATTGAGTTCAAACCGATCTACGAGCAGTGGCAGATCGCCATGGACATGACGACGTCAGCTGCGGAGCTCGCTCGCAACGAACTTCAGCCATAAGTGCTGGTGAGCGACAACGGCAGCTCGCGGCAGGTCGCGGCGCGCCCAGCTACGCGGGCGCGGCTGCTGACGCTCAACTCGGTCGCGAGAGCTGGCTGGCGCCAAGACGCCTGGCTCGCTTTGAGGCCCATCGATGACGCCCCTATCGGCGCGACGGAGCTCGGCTCAGTGACGGCGCCGTCTACCTGAAGAGGCCCAGCGAGTTCCGCGCGCAGGCGCGGGCGGCGCAGGCGCGGCCCGTTGCGCGCGAAGCCGCGGCGACCCCCGCCAGTCGGTCCACCGCCCTCCTTCGGCGAGCAGCGGATGTCTTGATCAAGGAGGCGCTGCTGTGGGACCCTGCGAAGCGCGCTCCGTCGCTGTCAGCAATGCGCCACGCGCAGCCCGCGGGGCAAGGCGAAGACGCGGAGGCTGTCGCGAGAGAGCGCGGGCCTCTGATTGCTGAAGAGAAAAAAATGGCGGCCGGCATTCACTGAGTCGCCTGTTCAGGATCAGCTGATCGGCCAATTTCTTGATCAGTGCACGCCACAGCTTGATAACTCCCCCCTAGCTCGGCGATCTCCGCCTCGCCTTCCGGCGGGCTCGCGAGCCCGCGCCGGGGCCCGACGGGCCCCCTGCGCGAGCGTGGCGGGGGCGCCCACTTCCCGCGGAAGTCTTGCATGGCGTTCTGTGTCAGATGGCGGTTGGCCACCATCCGCCCGAGCATTTTAATTCTTGTCTTCTTGCCTTTCTCCCGAAAGGAGAGGAGGCCGCCGATCGGATTGAATGCGATCGGGCCCCCGGGCGCGCCCGCCCGCTGGCTTTGAAGAACTCTGACAGCAAAGCGGTTGCTGCTTCTCTCAACTTTCATATGTTCTGAGTCGTTGTCAGGGATGCCCGCGGGGCTCCAAAAAAGTCTTCGCCCGCGGAAGGCGTTCCGGTAAACGCGACGTCGCGCTCGACTCCGAAACCGGGCGCGCGGGCCTCCTTCCCGGCGCGGGCACGAGGCCCCCCTGGGTTTGTAAGTTTTGATGGAAAGGCTGCCCTCCCGAGCGTGCCCCAACTCTTCCCTCGTCGCGCTGTCGGCCACGTCGCCCCCCCATACCTCCTCCGCGTCGTCGCTCGACGGGCTTGCATGGGACATGCGCGTGTCGGAGAAATACCAGCGCCTCTTTTCCCCATCGCGTCAGGCGTTCCCCGTGGGCGCCCTCTGTCTGGGAGTCTTTGGGCGTTGGGGTTCGATCGGCGGGTTCGATTCTCGCGCGAGGCTTTCCCGACGGAAGACGAGGGGGCCCTTGGAGGTTGCGCCGTCGACGTTGGAGCCGTCGCCATGGGCAGTCGCAGCGCGCCCCATCTTCGCCGTGCCATCCAGAGGGCCGAAGCGCTTGGGCCTCGAGCTGCAGCCGCAGAAGTGTCGCTTCGTCCCCCTCTGGGCGGACTGCGATGAGCACGTTCGCGAGCGGGCTCGCGCCGCCCTCGCTGCGCATGCGCTAGGATGGGGGGGGGGGGGGCATCAACGTCGAGGGATCCGCCAGATACCTCGCAGTCGTGCTCGGGCCCTCGGAGGACCCCCCCACCCAGTGGAAGGGCCCTGGACAGAATGGCGGGGCAGATGCCAGGAAGTGCACTTGATGAAGGTTTCTTTCAAAGGCTGCGCTGCGTCTGTATCTCGCGGTCATTCCCCCCTGCCTCTCTCACGTTGCGCAGCTTTTCCCTCCTGGCCCCAAGCTTTTGTTCAAGGAGGGGCTGGCACTCCACGAGCTGCTGAGGGTGCCGCCTAACTCGTTCTGGGTTGCCGAGTTGATGGGCACTGGGCGTTGGCTGCCCAGCGCTGCTCTTGTCCCTCTGAGTCTGTCGTGCCTTGCCGCCGCGTGAAGAGCCAGCCAGTGCGCGCTCGGGGGGTGGAGCGTTTGTCGGGAGCGGCTTCGAGAGGCGGCTCATGCCCGCGGATTCCTCGCGTATTTTATCAGCAACAAGTGGTCACCCCGGCTTTGGATTCGGCGTCAGAGCATCGCTGAAAACTACGCTTCGTTTGACAGCCTGCCTACCCGAATTGCGATTCCGAAGGAAGCGCTCGCGCGGGCCAAGGCAGCCGCGATTGGTATTCCTTGCAGGGCGCTGGGGCGGCCACCGGAGAGGGAGAGGTAACTTTCCCGGACTTTTCAAAACGTTTCCGAAAGTCACGGCATTCGCCGCAGCTCCAGGAAGACTAGACCACGGCTTCAGACGGTCTTCCTCCGCCCCCTCTGCTCCTCCCTCTTTCCCGATGTCATCACTGATCTTCTGGAGAGGCGATTTGGCAAGTGGTTTCTCGATCGACCCCCCATCAGACGGCCAGAGCTCGAGGAACGGCAGGCTAGCCTTCGTGATGTTCTTAGGAAGGCGACACCTTCACAAACCTGGGCCCATTTAAGAAAGCTCTCCGGGGCCTGGGTCACGTCCGCCCGGGCTGGGGAGTCTTACTCCGGCTGCGCTCACGACCTGCCGCGGCCGTGAGGTGCCGGCCCCTGACTCTATAAGCCATTATCTGTTGCGTCCCCGTCTCGCCCACCTTCTCGCCCTTCGTCGTGCTATCATTCCTGGTGACCCGATAATACGTCTAGGGTTTGGCCCCGCTTCGGATTACAATGCAGCCAGGGAGTCCGACACCATCTCCCATAAGAATGCGAATTATTTAGCCGCAGTGTTCTTCCATATCTGTCACAAGTACCGCGCTGAGCTTCAGCAGCAACCCTGCCTCGAAGGTAGCTATAATTCTACAGCGCGTGCGAAGCACGCCGCGATTGTCGCTGTTGGCTGAAGCTTCGCGCCAGACTGCCCCCTCTCCTGGCGACGTGCGTTCCTGCCCCTCATCCTCCTCCTGCTCCTCCTCCTCCTCCTCATTCGCCTCTCTCTCCTTCTCCTCCTCCTCCTCCTCCTCCTCCTCCTCCTCGTGCTCTTCCTCCTCGTGCTCCTCCTCCTCCTCCTCCTCCTCCTCCTCCTCCTCCTCCTCCTCCTCGTCCTCCTCCTCCTCCTCCTCCTCCTCCTCCTCCTCCTCCCCCCCCATCCTCCTCCTCCCCCCCCCTCCTCCTCATCCTCCCCGTCCTCCTCTACCTGGCGGTCCCGAGGGGCAGCGCCTCGTCGCCTCGAGGCCCAGTTTTCGATGCAACCCGCCGGATCAGGCTCACCGTGCCAGATCCTTAGACAAGTGACCAGCGCATTGTCGACGGATCATGACTGTACATCGTGCGCGGCCAAGTCAGACTGCACATAGTGCTGCATGACTGCACATAGTGCGTGACTGTACAGAGTGCAAGAGTGTACATAGTGGTCTACATAGCGTCTACATAGTGGTCTACATAGCGTGGCTGTACATGGCGCATTCGTGATCATAGCGCCGCTGTACATAGCATGGCTGTACATATCATGACCGTACATCGTGCAATAGTGTGCACAGCATGGCTGCACCAGCGTCAGCATATCATGTAGCACGACTGGGGATAGTGCACGGCCAAATCAGACCAGGGTGGCGCTAAGGGTGGTCCAAGGTCGGGGTCAAGGTCCTCCTCACCCTCCTCTCTCCCTCCCTCCACCCCCTCCTCCCTCCCTCCCTCCCTCCTCCCTCCCTCCCTCCCTCCCTCCCTCCCCCTCCTCCCTCCCTCCCTCCCTCCCTCCCTCCCCATCCTCGCCCCCGCCCCCCGGCCTCCTGCGGCGCGACGTGCTGTGGGGCGCCCTGCCCGCGGGGCCCGCCCGAGGAGGATCGAGGCCTCGGGCGGGGAGGTCCCCAAGGACTCCTTACAGGAATCCCTAGGGAATCTCTGGGGAATCCCTAGGAATCTCTGTAGGGGGTCCCAAGGGGATGTGATTGGGAATCCCCAGGGAATCTCGAAGAACCTGACCGGACAAGAACGGGAAGCGCAGTTTTTTATCCACCACGTGCGTCAGAGACCGTATTGGCGAGAACGTCAGAGAACATCCCTGTTGCGTTTCCTGGCTTCGGCGCCGTCTTGGAGGTATCTTGGACGCTCTTGGGGCTGTCGTAGCCTCTGGCCTCTCGGGGGCCTCTTGGGGGAGTCCCGGGGGGGGCCTTCGGGGGCTCTATGGGGCGATATGAAGCTCTCAGGGAACTCCTGGAGCCTTTTCGCGCGTTCTGGGGGACTTCTGGCCGCCTCTTTGGAGCCCCTGGGGGGCTTCTTGGGGGTCTCTTGGGGCGTTTTGGGCGCTCTGGCGGGCCTCTGGCCGCCCCTTGGGGGCCTCTTGGGGGTCTCTTGGGGCGCTCTGGGGGTCCTCTGGGGGGCCTTCGGGGGCTTTCTTGGGCCGTTTGGAGGCCCTCCGGGAGCGATTCCAAGATAATGCTGCTTCGGAGTCCCCTCCGGAGCCGATTTTTTGAGGACGTCCCGAGCGAAACGGCCAATTTTCCGGAACACGGCAGACCACACAGGAGCACGGCAGACCACACAGGACACGGCAGACCCCACGGGAGCACGGCAGACCACACAGGAGCACGGCAAACCACACAAGAGCACGGCAGACCATACAGGAGCACGCCAGACCATTTTGGGGAATCCGTTAACGAAAAATCCCGTGCAGCGCGGCAACCCATATAGTTAAAGAAAAGATATATTTACTCAAGGATTCAGCCAGAACGTCCCGCTTGCTTGTCGTACCTCGAAGACGCTTCCCGTCATCCGCCAACGAGTTTCGGGATGGAGCCCGTACCCCTTAGTTAGAGAACCGCCAACGAGTTTCGGGATGGAGCCCGTACCCCTTAGTTAGAGAATCTCTCTCCCTCTCTATCTCTCTATGTCTCTCTCTTTCTCTGGCTTTAAGCCCCCAAAGCTTCAGCTTCAGCACGGCAGACCAGAACAGCAGACCCGCACGGCAGACCAGCACAACACACCGACACGGCAGACGAGCACGGCAGTCCGGCACGGCAGACCAGCACGGCAGACCAGCACGGCAGCCCATAGGAACATAGCAGACCAGATCATGTCATTGACGCTGCTGTTGTTGGTGATGAT